TCGAAGCTACACATAGGAACACGTATCGCAAACCTATTTAATTTTCATATGTTGGGCTGGGATATCTTTTTTTCTAGGAGAATAACTTTACTTTTTTACTTTCACTATCATTTTGTTCGATTAAATTCAAAATTCATCTTAGTCTTTAGGTGAAAATATTCGAGAAATATTGTCAAAAATTTAACTATTAAAGTAATATAGTCTATAGTTCGATTTGGGAAACAAATTTTCGTCATTTCAATTCATTCATTTCAAAAAAGATCACTTTATGTATATATACATTGTCATATTTATGCATGTAGCCAATTTGACAAGTTTGTGGGCAGGCACTTTTCAATGCAGTATTTTTATACCCATTACCAACGGACGAAGGTTATAATAATTTTATTAAAAAGAATGCCACTTCGAGAAGGAAACATCAGAGATCCCGCAGCATCGAGAGCAGAGATTCGTCAGCATTAATTTCTAAATCGATTTAAGAATATCCGTCCGTCCGCCTGCATAGAGTCTATTGTAAACATTCTCCTGGCCACAAAAATGAAGCTATCGACTTTAAGCAGAAACATTGGAAACGCTTGCACGCAGATTAATATTGAAAATGGGCCAAATCGAACAAAGGACATGCGGACAGGACACTACCACGCAAACACCTCTACTTTTCAAAGGAAATGAAAAATTGATTTTTTACTCATTACTCATAAACTATGGCAAATAAATGTACAAAAATTTTAACCCACATTCTATGGGCGATGCTGTAGCATGGAAAAAATTGACCACGCCTATTCAATATTACAGTGTATCAAAATTTAATTATTTTCTCAATACCTTTATGACACGCAAAAAAACAGCTTCAAAAAACTTAAAACATATATAAATTCATGGGTAGTTATAACCGTTGAATGCACCCAAACCGTCCATCTGTCTGTTTGCGTAACTTTGTAGTAAAAATTTGTAAAATAAAGTGAAAAAAAACTATGCAACCTAAGCTGTGAACATCTTATCTTTGCTTTTCGTGTTTTTCGCTTGCTACTCATAAAGTACAACAGATACACCATAGAAATTTCCACTTTCATTCATATTTCATTCATCTAATAAATATTGCAGAGTATGAAAATTTATCCCTTTTACTTTTCATTAGTCTTCTTTAGGAGAACGGTAATGGGTATAGAAGATATTCTAACGACCGAATATAATTTTCTTACTTATTATAATATATATAATAATATAATGCGGATAATTACGGGTTTGAGAGACGAGTGAGACTTTAACTACGACTGAGGCTTTCATGTGATAATCGAACAGAATTTTTGCTGAGACGATAACCATGGCTAAATTGCTTATGATCCTCCAACTATTCACGCATATGTGATAATGTTATGTAACCTTTAGATAAACACGTAAAACTTCAGTTTAAGCTGAAAATAAATTTTTTTATGTCCGCTTTCTTTTCCTATGCAAATTTCTATTTTAAATATTTGCGTAATAAGAGGAAAAGAAATATTTCATAATAAAGCATTAAAACTGTAACAAAATCAATTGCAATTAAAACAGTTTGGACAGTTTGAAAAGTATTGAAGTCGAAGTATTAATGCATTTTAAAGCAAATTTATTAATTTTCATCATTTCATATATATATACACTCGCATTTGCACTTTAATCTCACGTTCTCTTTGTCTTTGACAAACTCATCTCAAATACTCACATCCTTAACTGCTACGCTTATCTATGGTATTTTTTAGTTTTTCTGCACTTTACGATGATGCGGTCGCAAGAAATTTATGCGTGCGGTTTCGTGTAATTATAATAAAATTTCTCTTCTTTAATGCCAATAAAATTATCGTCATATATTAAGGAGAAAATGTTCATTAATTCTTTAAGTGGCGTAGTTTGTTATGTTTTGTTAAAGTTGCCTGTGTATATATGCCCCTTTGTTTTACACAAATTCTTTTCATAATTGCGCGCTTAGAATTAGGAAAGAAGGCAAAAAAAAAAAAAATAATAATAATAATATAATAATAATAAAAGTGCAGAGGAAGCATTGAATTTCTCTCTCTTCACATATTTTCAATAAGGTAACTGTAATGCGAGAGGTTGGAAAAAAGTGTGAGAAACATTGAGAATATGATCTGTGAGAGTTTTTATTAGAGTTCGTATTTTTCGTTTATTGAAATAACTTACGCACACAAAGCACATAAACATGGCAGGTAAGAAAGTTAGGCGATTATTATTATTTACTACTACTTTAATTTAAAACAAGTAAGAAAATTATATTGGGGTAAGACAATCTTTAGATACCCTATACCACTTCGCCTAATACAGGTATTAACTCGTTTTGATAATAATACACCCACACTTACACATTGTTTCCACGCAAGGGGATACTTTTCATGATAGCTCTTCTCATATTGAAAGAATTATTATATACAATGCTTACCAAAAGAATAGACCAAATTCGATGAGGTTGACTGCTATGTCAATTTGTTACTGTATGCTAATATTTACAATGGCATATTAAAAATTATACCTTTCAAACTCAGTTGTTATAGGAACCGTTTTACGAGAGATGGTTTAAAAAATGTCCTCAGTAAAAGAAAATTTTTCATATCAAATCATAATTTCCAAATACTATTTATTATACAACGAGTTCTATTGAGCAATTTTGAAAATTGCCATTATATGGAGAGGGGTCGAAAAAGTGGACTAATACAAGGCAATACCGTTCATCTTTGGTCGTCGAATCACGTCAGTGTAGCAAATTTCATCAGAAAGCCTCAAAAATTGCGATCTGTAGCTTGAATACAAACTTATATGAATAGACCTCGTAAGGCGGTCAGCTAGACAGGCAAAATTAGACGTTATAATAAACGGTGGGTGTTTATTGCGTTCAACAAGTGGTATAGGGTATAATAAAAAGCAGTTGTAAATATTTATATAAGAGACGGAGAGGCAAAAGGAAAGATAATCTTCGAAAGTTACTTGTATTTGCTTTTGTTCTAATCTTATGAATAAGTTCAGTATATATGTGTGCGCGCTTACATAGAATAGGAAAAGATTTATTTCGGAGAATTCGGAGAATAAAAGCTAAATAAATTCATGCTTCCTATGCTTCAATGCTTCATATAGTGGACCTTTACAATCACTTGTTCATATATGATTAAATGAAAAATCGTAAAAACAAAAACTCCCAAATTGAATATAAGCAAATATAAGAACTTATTAAATATTATATAATAGAAACAAAATGTACATAAATTATGTAAGCTCTCTCAACTATTTTACTGTTAACATCCATCAATGCCTCCTTACACGCGTATATTTTCTGCCCTCCTTCAATTTTTTATTTTTATGTACTATTTTATTAAATTTCAAAAAAAAAAAAAAAAAAAGCGAGCACAGAAGAACACTTTAAAGAGCGACAACCAAACATTTTGAAAAGCACTTGTCATAATCTTCAAATACATTTACCATAAAATAGAATTTTTATATATTCGTATAAACTGTGGCAAATTATTGCAAATATATATACACATGTTTTACACTCTTTCATAAAATCATCTTTATATTTATATAATACGTCGGTGTACAAAGCGAAAAAAAAAAGGTTTTTTGGCTTTTTATTATTTTTTATTTTTCCATAGCATTCTTTAAGTGTGACTTATCACCCATTTTAACCCCTAAATTCATATTATTATCGATGCTGTACATTCCACGTCCCATTCATTTTAAAATTAATTTCATAAAAAAATTGAAATAAAATAAAATTGCCAACAGTATGCATTTAACGGGGAAAAAAGCACTATGCAAAGTGGAATGAGGTTTTGAACATACGATATAGATTTGCATTGATTGGCATTTAAGGGTTAAATTGAAAGATGCGACGAGAAAAAAATTAAAAAACTTATAATGAATGAAATAACTTCGAAATTTATTGTTGATAATGAATATTTATTGGAAAGATGGAATACTCTCTGAAATTCTCCTCATTAAAGCTTCCAGTCAGACAAAGATCGTTATTGGACGAAATATCAATCATCGGCCCTGTCAAATCAACTTGAGGACGTTAAGTATTTTCACATTTAAGTTTAGACGCAATCCAAGAAGAATCGAATGCCTGCCAGTTATGGTGATGGTGTCCAAGATTTCATTGCAAGATGCATTCTTTTTCTTGTCTCATATCCAAATCGTTCTAATAATTTACGCATGAAGGTTTAATCTCAAACTTGATTTCAACAATTTTTAGAGCTTTCAGCAGATTTATCTCTCTATATATCACTAATAGGAAAGAACTGACCTTTTAATTGATTTTAATAACTAATAATAAATATAGAAAGTGCGTCTCTTTCTTTCGAAATTGATCTTAAGATCTCCAGCCTCTATAATGCTAGTTGTCCCTCCATTTCCTTGTCATGCTTGATGCTTGATAAAATTTGTATTGGAATAGAAGGAAAATTTTCGTATAATCTTCCTATCGGCGATAGTCGACAAAAAGCAACCAAATCAACCTTTCTATGCATAATTCAAAACTTGTAGAATTCTTCGATGTTGTACAATATAATACAGTTTACATTGCTTTATGTTTCCCATAAATGGTAAAACTGAAAGCTACTTTAATATTTTTTTATATTAAACAAAAAGAAAAATAGAAAAAAGAAAAGGAAAAGGAAAAAAAAAAAAAAACAAAATACCTAAAAGAATTAAATGTATAAATACCGGATAAGCCTGAAAATAAGAGCCTTACTCTGATGGCATATATATGCAGACGTTTAATAAAACATTATCACTGGCTAAGGTTTTTTTTTTTTTTTTTTATGATGATATCATATGTTACACATGTTTGATAATAATGGTTTGGGGTGAACTAATCAAACGCGATGAATAACTGTATTATTAGTACATAAATGAAAATGCAAAAAAAACAAGCTTTTATTTTGAAATTAAGGATAGTTATTAAGGAGCTTGAGTTTTTTTTTTATTTATTTTTATATATTTGTTTAACTTACCTGTCGGCGATGGCGTCAGCGACATCATGTCAAAGCGTATATTTCTTGGTTCAAATTGATAATCCTTTAAAAAGGTTAATTTGGCGCCGCGTGTTTTATTTAAACCCGATACGGCTGAGTGTATGGCACGTAAATATTCACGTTTACCGAAATTTGTATGAGGTGCTATCAGGCCGATATATAATTGTTCTCGATTGCTGGACGAACTTTTCGTTAAGCTATTGGCCAAACGTATGGCTTGTGTGCATGTGCATGAATAAATTAAAATCAAGGCAAACATTATTATAACCAAGGATTGTAAGCTTATTCTTAGTATGGGTGATAACGTTGGCGACGATGGCGACAATGCCAATGATGATGACGATGACGATGACGATGACGATGGCGGCGGCAACGTTGACGATGCTGACAATAAAGCGTTTAATTTAAAAGAATTTTCAATATTTTTTTTTCTAAACGCAAGTGTACTGGAGGTGTTGTTAAGGGCGTTTGTTAAACTTTGATAAGAGCTTGAAAATTTTTTACTATATTGCGTATGCTCAGACTTGTGTAAGTGGAGCTTTTCTTCTCGTTGTTTCATTTGCTCTTGTCGATGGTCTGTTGAGTTGGCACCTCTTTGCCAACATTTTATAAGAAAATTGTCTTTTCGATCATTTTCAAACGTTGACATAATTTGTTTACTTTTGCCATTTGTAACATTGTTGCTCATATTAATAGTGTTTGTTGTGTTGATTTCAGTTACATTATCTCTTATAAGAGTGGCAGTGTTATTGTTGTTGCTCTTAATGTTGTTGGTATCATGACAGTTGACATTATTTCTACGATTGCTGCTACTGTTACTACTTGTGTTAGTGCCATTGCTGCTAGTTCTATCACTGTAGCTATTATTTGTATTGCAGTATCTCCATCTATTTGTTATTTGTTGGTTATGCCAACGAAACTTATATTTCCATTTTTCGCTAAAATGTTTCCAAAAATTTTTCACTTTAACGCGACCCGTATGCAAATGAATTTTATATGCATGCTGTAACATGCAATAGTGATGATAGTGTTTGAAGATATTTTTGCAGTTTTTGTTAGTAAATGCGTTAGATTGGCATGCCAAACTAACCCAAGTTTTATGCCTGAGTTTTTCTTTTTCTTTTTGTTGTTGTTGTTGTTGTTGTTCTTGCTGATATTTCTTCTCTTCCCTTAGCATTAATGGTCTGCAAACATTTTTACGTTGCCATAAAGGGTTTGCTTGTTTTGTTGTTCTTTTACATTTGAATCCTTTTGTTAGTAATGGTGGCCTGCTGCTATTAAAGCATTTCAGCTGATATTTGTTATTAAATCCTTTCATTTCTGTATTCCTGCTTTCGTACTATTATTATTTTTATTATTGTTGTTCTTGTTGTTATTATTATTATTATTATTATTATTATTATTATTATTGCTGAGAATTTTTTATTCTTTTAGTTAGTTTAATTTTGTCTCATTTCTAAAGAATGTTGCCTGCTGCCATCTCTCTACGATTTGATTGTGAAATTTTTGGCTTTTGTTTGTCATATGGGCAAAGAACAAAAATAAAGACAAAAAAAAAAAAAAAAAAAAACCAAAAAGACAAAAAAAAGAAAGAGACAAGAAAAAAAATTAAAAAACAAATAAAAAGAGCTGGATTCCGCTGTGATAACGATTCGGCAAATGTCACTTCATACAGCAAAACATTTCTTGCCAAGTTTTCGTTTCTCTCTACACAAACAAGAAAGTTTGCCTTTGTTCTTTGCTCTGCTGTAACAAAAGTACAACAAAAAAAAAAAAATGTATGTAAATTTTCGCTTAGAGTCTTCTTTTCCGTTTCCCTTGACGTACTATATATATGTGTCTATGATTATGAAACAGCAGATATCAAGTTAGGTTTGTTGCCAGTGGTTGTTGATAATCTGTAAGCAAAACGGAAAACAGAAAAATATTTTTCTTTAATTATACTTGTTTGCATGTTTTTGTATTATATAAAATTAAAACAATGTTTAAAAAAGATTTCAATTTTATTTATAGTTATTTTAGTCATTTCGAAATGAATTTTGAAATGACTTTAAATTTATTAATATTTCATAATGTTTGTGCACAGCAGGAAGGCATATAAAAACACAAAAAAAAAAAACAAGAAGAGAAAATTTAATCCTTAACCAGCCAAGCGTATGATTGATGTTTGGTTTTTTTGTTTTTTTTTTTTTTTTTTTTTTTTGCTTTTGCTTTATTTATAAATACATACAAATAATTTTAATAGAAAGCTTTGCTGCAGATATGTTTTAAAATTATAAATAGTGAAAAAGAATTCAATTAATTTCTTCATTCCGTTTTGAAATATCGATTTGTTTCCGTTCATTCGTCCATCCGTCCATCCGTCCATTTGTCACAAAAGCTTTCTATTGAGTTTGAAGAAGAGCATTGATGATCTACCCCTAAATATGCGTATACGAACCGAAAAAGAACAAGATTGTATTAAAAAATCGAATAAAATTTTTCAATAGAAAATCTTTTCATTTTCCTTTAGAAAATTTCCCGATTTCAAATGATCTGATTGAAGCGCATGACTTTGAAGCGTTCTATAGAGTCTTTTATTAAAGGTTACCCTCAACGATTTTCAGTTAGCAAGCAAGTGAAGTCAATTATTGTCAATTCGCGACTTTGAAATTGTTCCCGAAATACGAAATGTATTGGTTATGAAAATGCTCAGCTGTTATGCGGATTCGAGGAATTTCGATTGTTATCGATATTAGTATGGAAACCTTTTTACAAAGACTAAACACGAAATCAAACACTCTACACGCGCTCAGCATGTTGTTACCGTAACAAGCATGCTAACGCAACCTTAATAAACAATGTTGATAATTTGTCATTTTTTTTGGGGGGGGCGACACTTTGATCTGTTAACTATAAGGCCAAGATTTAAGGATTAAATGATTGCAACAAGCTGCCCTGTTACAAATCAAATTGGAACGACTCTCTCTTTATCTCAAAATATTAGATTTACAAATAAATTCGTTAAAGTCGAGATATTGTTTGCTTCATACAACGTCTATCGTATGTAATTTGTTTCCGAAATTTTGACTTTGATACAACTTAGACATTATTGTTTGTATGGCATAAGTTTCAGTTGCTGACAAGCTGTAGTTCAGTATCTATCAAAGCTGTAAGCGATGAATGTCAAGGGATGTCAATATGTAACATGTCAACATTCTTGTCGACCGCTTACAACGAGATCGACTTAATCATGTCTGTTTGTGTATGTATTGAAATCGTAATTTGACAAAAATTTGTCTATATATACGTGTATGTAGATTAAAACTCTAGGAGCTTCTTCATATGTTATTCTTATAGTTTTCTACTTCATTTCAATCGTTGGTTCGTTGTCGATAAATAAAAAAAAATAAAAAAAATTCTTCTCTTATTCCTCCCAACTCCTTAAACATTAGAACTTTGTTTCATTTAATACCCAACAACGATATCGATAGTTTCGCAAAGGGAAAGTTTAACTGTATTATTAAATGGGATAAATAATAGGTTGGAGGGAAAGTTCTGTCGTAGTTTAAAGAAACTATTTAAGTTCATTTATAAAAATACATGTTTGATATTAATCACTTAAATATGCTCCGTTATTTGCTACAACCTGTTGTCATCTTTCGGATAACCCGTGAATTCCTGTTTTGTAGAAGTTCTCCTCCTTACATTCTTACACGATCAGACAAATTCTTTTCCGTTAATTCATGTGGATCCCAAACACTTTGCTTTAACAAAAATCCAAAAGATTTAAAGTGATCTCCAACTTTTGTATGATAAATGCCTAACTCTTCTACAAATTCCCGACTTGTTAAGTGTGTATCATTTTCCAACATCGCTGGCAAAACATCATTATCGATCTTGGATGGTCGTCCAGATCGATCACTTTGGAGCAGGCTCAGATCCCCGGAACAAAATTTGCTAAACCATTAGAATTGTAAAGGGGGACCCGGTGGGTTGCTCAAAACTTAGAGTACTGCTTTGCTATTGATATTAGCGGCAATATAAAAATGGTCTGATACTTTTGACTTTCTACTTTCATCAACGACTTTTAAACAACATTTCACGCAGTAGAAAGCATTTTTCGATATCTTGCCGCTTCAGTTTTGACGACAGTCAATTGCACACTTTTTATTTCATTTCAATTATCCACAAATATCTTCCGTCGGACGTTAGGATTTCTAATTTTGACTTTAAAAGTTTAACCAGGGATCTCGAAGTTTTTAATTCTTTTAAGTTTGTCGGGAATTTTTGTGTTCGACCTTAAACTCTTCTTTAATATATAGAATCAGCTTTCCTGAAGGTAAAAACTAAATCGACGGTATCGAAGGTAGAAATCAACATTAAGAATGTTTCAAGGACTTGATCAAATGACCCTTAGAAAATCCACTGCGTAGCCTCAAGGAAAGGAGGCCGAATGGCAAAGGCATTATAAAAAAGCTTTAGGTACCTATGCAATATTACCGAATAGATGGATCAAATGTCATATCGCATTGTTTTTTAAACATATAAGTGGCGAACTTGACTACATCTTGGTGGTTGTACCGTATAAGAATTTCAAGCTAATCCATTATATTTTACGGATCCTTTTTGCCAGATAATCGACGAACGATAATCGATAACGAAAGTGTCTCGTAGCAGCTAAATACGATGTTGCCCTGAAGGAAATATAAACAGAAAAATTCTGAGGATTCCATTAGTGGCGTTTGTGGTTTTGTGGATTTTTTAGATTGTCCTGGTATTGGTGTCAAATCTCAGATTAATACCCACTATAAATTACCAGACATTGGTAATAATATATCAAAATTTTGCGTCGCATAATCGTTTTCTGAATCCATTTAGGCTTGTCTGTCCGTCTTACGTATTGTGTTTAGCCAAGAGGTCGCAATTTTTGAGATATTTTGATGAAACTTAGTACACAGGCGTGTTTTGGCCGTTGTCGCAACAGTGTTCAAAATGATTCAAATCGGACCACATTTCGAACACTTCTCATATAACGCTGTATTCTGAAAAGTTGTTCTATAAATAAATGTACTAAGCGAAGTGATGAAGTTGTTATTTTAGTTATTTGTCACAGCGTTAGTTTTTTTTTTGGGGGGGGAATTTTAAAGAGTCTTCCAAAAGGCCTTATTTGAAAAATTTTTAAAATTTCAACTAGCACTACTCTTATCCGCTGGCAGTGAACATGAAAATATTTTCCTTGATTTCGGCAATCAATCATTAAAACGTTTTATTATTTTCGATTGAAAATGATTGTAAGTTTTTTTAAAGCTCTTCAGATAAACATTACGTTGCGTCAGCTTTTAAAAATCATATTTTATTCAAATATTGTTTTGCACACTTTTTTTGATGATAATTACAGTTAGCTTCTGATGGTTGCCGTTAGCGTTAGTTATTTTTGTTGGAATTCTTTTTTTTTTTTTTTATATATACATCTACATATAATACATAAATTGTGACATTTTCGCTTATATTCTAACTATATAAAAATCATTGACACGCAAGTTATTGCCAATTTACAACTTTTTGAAAAGTCTAAAAGGAGAATGTAAAAGTAACACAAGAATATTGTATGCAAACATCAAACAGCTTTAATTTAACCAAAAGCGAAAACGCAAAGTGAATTTAGTTTACTGACTTTTATATCAGCTATTAAAATGAGGGAAGCGTAAGAATTTCTCTTTCAATATTTTTTCGTAATCGGTGTAAAAAGGTTGAAGTCAAATTCCCCTTGCCTTAGTTAAAGTTTATAAAGTGTATGTCTGTCTACGTATTAGTCCAATATTTGATACATTCGACGCGTATGTGTTCTTTGCTATTGCAATATACTCAGGGGCAATAGGCGGTTCCACGACAGGATTGCTGGGCAAAGCCTTTAATATGACGTGAATAGTGGAGTGAGCAGGAATCCCGAGTACCGAGCCCTAACGACTCAGTGTGTCGCGGGTTTAAATCTCAAGTGCGTTACAGTCTACTTTAGTCGTAGTTATAGTGAGTACTCAGTCAGTAAAGTTGTAACAACGATTTGATACACATCCACTAGGCCTACGGCCACCGTTTCTTATCTCATTCTTATTTCTCACGTCTTTCTGACCGCGACTGTGTTACATGAATAGAGAACATCACCATGGCTGGTCATCTTAAAAAAAAGAAAATCCTTTAATAGGGTATCCTGGCTTTCCCACTATTCTACAGTACGATATACTACCACGACAACAACTGGCACCACGCTCAACTGCGCTACCCCCTTTACGTACACTCATACTCCCCTTTCCCTTTCTCCCTCCCGCTACCTACAATTCGTCCGAATAATGACCGTGCCTACAAGTGTAGAGGAC